TATATATATATATATATATATAATAATTATTGATAATAAATAATACTTATTTTACGATAGAGTCAAATATTATATTTGTGATGAACTCTGTAATTATTACAATAACACTGTTATTGCATTTTTTAATTGTTTGCAACAAAAATTGAAATCTCTATGATCATTTTCAGTCTAGTCTTGATCTAGTTAGTTATGTCTGCTTATATGATCTAGCTAGTTATTTCCAGCTTACATAGTTTTCCTTGTTCAATTTTAATTTTCACTTAATTACAAAATATTTCCTCTGCTATTTCGTGAAAATAATATTCTGCTTTGGTAATATAAGCGATATAATTTTCATTTCAATTTGACATAAAAAATAAAATGCAAATGTATTTCAAAAATACAAATTTTGCAGAATTTTAATAAATTTTACAGATTTTTAAATTAAATTATTTTTACGTTAGACGTTTACTTAGTAAAAGATATTTATTTGCACACAATTGCATTGTTAATTCTGTATAGCCCAGAAATGTTTTAAATTTTGCAAAGTTATTTCATACGCTAATTGACTTAACAAGCAAGACTAGTTCTAATAGCTATTTGACTTTTGGAGCAAGAAATTTCGTATTATCGAACTGAATCTCATTATTTGGTCACATTGATGTCAAAAAATATTATATTGCAGTGGTCAAAAATTTGACCATTGCAACATAATATTTTGTTCATAACTGAAGAAGATTAGAAAGAATCGAAAATACCAAAAAGAATTCTACGAAAATGTAAAATCTTTCAATGATTTTATGCAAACCCAAAAAAATATGTAAATTTATTATTATCATATTTTTCAAATGAAAATTCTGTATTTAGTGGTCATTAACTTTATTCAAGAATTGTACAAATCTGATTTGATATCAAAAATCATAACTTTTGAATTTTTCATATTTATTTTGAAATGATTGGCTTACTTTTCATGCGTGAACTTTATCTTCAGTTATGATTTGTTCACAATTGTCAATTAAAAAATAATTTTATGCAAAAATAAATAAGTTTAGCAGTGAGAGATAATATGACAGCTGGCAGCAGTAGGCATCATAAACGAGACTGATCAGAATGTATCTATGAATACATTAAGTATTTTAGTATATTCTATTAAGTAATTAAGTCTTGAAACATTAAGTATGCAAATATTTTAAATAGTAACAATCTTTAAGTACGAATTCAAAGCTTTCATAAAAATAAAACTGACTATATGCCATTTTCCAAAATTTTGGTCAGACGTATTGTACAAATTTCATACATCTTTTATAAGGTATACAATTAAGAATATTCTGTTTTTTTCTGTTGTATTTTCAAAAAAAGCTAATATATCTCATCTATTTTGTCGTTAATTTTATCAATTTTATTTGATGATAGTTTATTACTGTAAGCATTAATTGATATTTGTATTTTAATAAAAACAAATTTTTAAATTTTTGTCCTAAAAATATTAAAGCATTGAAATGGAAGTGTAAATACTCTTTGAAGGCATAAACATTCACTTTGATGAATAAAATGCATATAAATCTATTCACAGAAGCAAAAATATAAACGATAATAACTCTTACTTTTAGCTTTAAAAATTATATTTATCACTGAATTATGTTACTCTGTGGTTACTGTGATAACTTTGTTTTGCATACAGTTAAAAAAACTTTATGCTTAATATTAAGATATTTACTGAATGAAATTTTTGCATACAAACAATTTTCATACAATATTTTACATCTAATTATTGCTAAATATATTTCACATTTGAAATACACAAATTTATCATAAAATTTAAATTTTAAAAATGAATAAAAGTATTTAAAATAAAAATAATGTGAATTACAAAGCGCAAAAATATTATTTAAGGTGTACTCCTTGTAATTCGATATCGCCATCAATGCAAAGCTTATCGATATCTCGAGGTGACATCCGGTGTGCGTATGAGTTTATGAGGCAGTCATCCACATAACACTGAATAAAAAATAACTTATAAACTCTAAATAATTAAATAAGAAAAAATAAATTTGCTTAAGTAATCTACAAAAACAATCAAAGGTAATTTACAATAAATTGATTCTCTTCGCAATAAAAAAGCAAATCAAAAGTGTGCTTTTTTTTGAATGGAAATTGAATTTCTAAATCTTTCTCCTCCTTGCCCCATCCATCTGACGACCGCGTATTTCTAATTAATCTCTGAAAAATAAACGTTTTCTCAGGTTTCTCTGCACAGAATTATTTATTCTAAGCATTACTTTTCAGTTAAATAATTCGTTTTTAAATATAAACTATTATCATTTTTTAAAATCGCAATTAAAAAGTAATAATAATATATTGAAAGTTTTTGCGCTTACTTTTTCTGCGATTCGAGCATTGAATCTAAAAGCTACATCACAACCACAATGGAAATCAATGGTGAAATGTTTGGCTTGTTTTTTCACAAGTGCTGAAACATAAAGCTTTCTTCCGGGGTAAAAATTCCCCGGAATATCTGCTCCATAAGGCACCTGCTGTAAGCAAACATATGCAAGTTTAATTTGAATACTTGTTACAAAAATTAGCAAAAGTAAACATCTTTAACTTGTATTAAAACTACAAAAAGATTTTGCCATCTGCAAAATTGATATAAATTAAATTTTTTGAATGCAAAAATCACTTTTGTGAATTATTTTACTGCACGAAATACAATGGAAAATTTAGAATTTCAGATTAAAAATTTATTTTAAAAGTAAAAAAATATTTTTTAGATAAATATTTGCGATTGTCATTTTACACAGTAAAAGTTGTAATTTTACGCAACTGTAATTTATTCACAAACGTGCAAGCTTTATCCAGGTTAACTTTTTACAGAAGTCAAAATTTAAAACAAAATTTTTTTTAATTCGAAAATAATTATAATAAAATAATTAATCAAAATAAAAATGAATTAACTAACATAATATTTGCCTTCCCATGAAACTGTGTACAGTTCTGCATCGCCATTTATATAAATATGTGTGATGTTTGAAATCGGCACATAGTATGCAAAGTTTGCTAGTAATTTATGGTCAACAAATATCTAAAATAATTAGTTATATTAAGTATTTATAATATTTGAATTTATTAAAATTCAAAATAGTATTATTAAGGGCACAAAAATAAAAACATGATAAAGGATGCTTTCATGAGACTAAAACAAATAAAATAATTACATGTCATTTTTTGAAAGTATGGATTCTGTAAATTTACAAAATTCACCTCAAAGTATGTATCGTGACATCTGATTCTTATATCAAACTCATCACCAGGGGACCATTTATGCTTCACTGAACCTTCTCTACAAAATTGACTCTTTATGTTGTAAAATTAACAGAAATGAAATTTAACAAAAGTTTATGCAAATTTTCTGCGAAAAAAAAAATCTAAAATCAAAATAACAAACTTTCCCCATTCACCATTAATACAAGCATTTAGAAAAATTTTTTTTCGAGTATTATTTGCTCGAATAATAAGAAGTCGGTTGTCAAGGCTATCATTTTCTTCAGTTTTTTCTACTTCTGGACCACTCGTAAGACTGATAATAAACTCATTGCGACCTGAAACTTGTTATTTAATTACTTTATTTGCTATTAATTAATATTTGTATTGAAAAATTTGAATATTAATTATGTCAAAAAATGTGTATTTGGTATGTTTAAAAACTTAATATTAAGCAGTCAAGTA